AAACACAATTAACTACTCAAGTCATTAAAAAAGTAGGTGTCAGGACTGAAATGCAATAAAATTTAATCATGGCGGCTGACGATTTTAACCATGGCGCAGCTCGTTTAACCATGGCGCACATAAATTTAACCATGGCGGGCCGCCATGGTAAAATCCCTTGTGGAGAACCCTGCAGTACTTTAGCATGGATGTTTGTTGTTAAATATTTGTATTTTATATCAGGTCTATATCTAACTCATTGTAAGTGCTGCTCTGAAAAATAATTTTGAAAAATATAGACACATTGAATACATATTCATTATTATTAAGATTTTTTGTAAGTCAACCATATGATATGAATATTCAGGTCTTCTTATGCTTTTTTTTTTTTATTTTATACATGTAGCTTTTTCGTTTTTTTATTTTAGGAGTCAAAGTCATTTGCCATGAACATTTTCAGAGGCATTGTAAAAACAGATCAAGTTTTTCCTTTCCCAGAGGGTAAGCATGTTCTTTGTACAATGTGTAAAAATGATTGAAAACGAAATTTTCTATTAATTTTTGTTTTTATATTAAAGTGATAATTATTAACACTTACAAAAAGTTAAGTCTACTTTTCTAGTTTGTGCAACATAAATGTACCTATAAATTATCTTTTTTGTAGTGTTGGATAATGAACAAAGTGATACCTTAAAGATGCTTGTGGATCCATGTGCCAAGTCCTTTGAGGTATGAATTGATCTCTCAATGAACATATGACAGATCTAATTCAAAGTTTCACATTTTGAAAATATAGATCATTTGGAATTGTAAATCATGTTTTCTTATAAATATGGTAATAAACTAAAAGAGAAATGCTTCCATTATTTACAGGAGGTGAATGATCCTTTGAAAAATGATAGCCTTGAGAAAGTGGAAGAGCCTGTTATGGAGGGATTAAAGGAGATGGGTGCCTTTGGTCTGCAAGTGCCTGTAGACATTGGTAAGAAAAATGTTTTTTACACATTCATAATATCTAGACTAACTGTCACAAATAATAAGTCTAGATGATATATTTAAATAGAGAGAAACTTATGTGTTCTCTATACATGAAAAAAGAAGTCATTTTATCTGTTCAAATGATTTACAAAGGGAAATCTATAGTGTAGTTCAAATTGTTTCAAAATTGTATCAAAGCATTGATAAACTTTATTTAGATACATGTACATGTATAATTATACATGATAAGACAACTTGAAGATATTTGTTTTTTTCCTTTCAACAGGCGGTCTCGGCCTGACCAATACCCAGTACGCTCGATTGGTGGAAATTGTTGGGTCACATGATCTTGGTGTTGGAATCACATTGGGTGCTCATCAGGTAAATGACATAGAAGCATTAGAAGGGCAGATTTGAAATAAATTATCAAATGCTGTAAGAAATTCTTTCTAATCTCACATGATAAACTTTATCTTTTTGACTTTGATAGGATATGATATTTATACTGTCTTTATTGCATTGCAGTCTATAGGCTTCAAAGGAATCATTTTGTTTGGAACACAAGAACAAAAAGACAAGTATCTCCCTCACCTCGCACGTGGTAAAAACATGGCTGCTTTTTGTTTGACTGAACCAAGCAGTGGCTCAGATGCCGGGTTAAGCTCTTCATCAAACTCTGTCATCAAAGGCTCAATAAATTGTTTATTGATGAATTAAAAATTACATGTTTTATAAGGACTGATTTTCAATTTACATATGTAAATTGTAATTTTAACAATGACTTTTTAAGCATATCGTTTCTTATATCTATGCTGTGGTATTTAATAGATACATGTATGTATCTTATAATTACAGTCTATTAAAAGCAAAGCAGTTCTTTCCCCGGATGGCAAGCACTACATCCTGAATGGTAGTAAAATCTGGATTAGTAAAGGAGGCCTTGCAGAAATCTTTACTGTATTTGCTAAAGTATGTTTGCCTGAATCAAAATAAAAATCTTTTAATCATGCAGATAAACTACTCACATGTTTACCAGAATATGCCTGTTTTTCTCTTTTCATGATTATAGACACCTGTTAAGGATGAGAAAACTGGAGCAACAAAGGAGAAAGCATATATAGCATTTCACACAAAAATTAATTAAAAATCTTATTTCTTTAAAAAGTTATTAAAACTTCAAATATTTTTGGCGGGTTTGATTGACACATCCTTGCACTTTCACAAATTTTAACTTTATTCTTAGGGAAAGTGGAAATTTGAAGTTTTAATAACTTTTAAATGAAATAAGATTTTTTAATTAATTTTTGTATGAAATGCTATTAAAATATGCAAGTCGTAATATTATAGAGAAAATATTACCTTTAAATCTGTGTCCAAGTACCTTGATATAGTCACAGTAATGACAGAATGTATTATTGTCTCACAATCTGTTATAACTGATAATAAAAGCATTGTATAGATACGACACTTACTAGGGATGGGTATCGCCAAAAATTTCGTATCGCGATATATTACGATTTTTCCCAACATATCACGATAATATTATGATATTTTTACAATCAATTTTTACAATGATTTTTAATGAATTGTCATTATTTTTCTTAAAAATATGCTAAAAAAACAAAATTTCACTTTTTTTTGAAATTTTTATATACATAAAATTAATTCATGTTTAGATGGTAAAATGCTGTTCTTTTCACTTTTTAGAACATTTTTTAGACTTTCTATAATTGTATTTTGAAAGATGAACAAAGAAATGAATAATTTCTGGACTTTATAATACGTATCTAAATACCGGTATATAGGTCTTCGTATCACGATACGTATCACGTAACAAAAAATCGCCATATACCGGTAAAATCGCACATCCCTAACACTTACCAGGTATATTAATTGGTTCTTTCTTGTAACAGTGGACCTCCCGAGAAAAAGATGGGAATCAAAGCCTCCAACACAGCAGAGGTGTACTTTGAGGATTGCAAAGTTCCTGTAGAAAATCTTCTTGGAGGTAAAATACAATGTATTTTAATAATTCTGAAAGGGAAAAAATGTTAATGAAGTGAATGGATATTTTTTAAAATGCAAGTACCATATAAGTGATTTGTTATGGAACAAAAAAACTTGAGAACAATATATTATCGTGTTTATAATTTCTGATGCTTAAGTTTGAGCCTTTGAAACTTTTATTTCAATTGAGTTGTGAGTTTGTACAGTGAAAATTTAACAATCAAACAAATCAACATGTGAACTGAACAATTGATACAATGAACAAGCAAAAGATAAACTTTGTGAACCAATATTCCTGATGTAATTTGTAACAGTTGTTTCCCTTTCATTGAAATCTATTTGTTATTCACAGGGGTTGGAGATGGATTCAAGGTTGCCATGAATATTCTGAACAATGGAAGATTTGGTATGGCAGCTGCTCTGTCAGGAACCATGTCATCCTGCATCAAGAAAGCTTAAGTTCACCGCTACATGTAAAACTGTAAACCTATTTTTATACGTCATTACAACAATTATTCACAAATTGTAAATTTGAAATTCATCCGCAAGGAAATACTTCCCTACTGATAAATCATTGTACATGAATTATTATGAAGTAGAAAATATAGCAAAAGAAATATAGGTGAGTGAAAAAATTCATGCAACTTGGAAAATATTTTTCGCATGTGAATAAAAGATTACAATATATTATCAAGGACTTTAAATTTATTTTATAACATTGTTGATGCTTCATTTTTCCTACATATTTAAATAAATACACTCTAGAAGAAGAAGATTTCATAAGAAATAGCTATAATTAATTTTCATTTTCTGGCAGGTTGAACATGCGTCTCAGAGGAAGCAGTTTGGGGATCTGATCAGTAACTATGGCACGATACAGGAGAAGATTGGCCGTATGGTGATAATGCAGTATGTCACAGAGTCCATGGCTTACATGCTGTCTGCCAACATGGACCAAGGGTCAACAGAATTCCAGATAGAGGCCGCCATCAGCATGATTTATGCTTCAGTATAAATTTATAGCTTACACTTTTAATGATAAATGTTGATGTACTATATTCTGGAAAATAGGGAAATGAAAATGATTTTTTACAATATTATCCAAACATAATTATGTAACACTCTGATTTAATGAACAGGAAGCTGCATGGTTTTGTGCTGATGAGGCAATCCAGATTTTAGGAGGAATGGGATATATAAAGGTTTGTATAGAAATACAGTTTAGAATATTTTTGTATCTAATGTTGTAGTTATAAATACATAAAGACATGGTTATTGAGTGTAAAAAGTTTAAACAGTTGTCTTGGTTTTGTTCATTGCAGGACTGTGGCTTGGAGAGAGTGATAAGAGATTTAAGAAATTTCAGAATTTTTGAAGGAACAAATGACATTCTCAGACTTTTTATTGCTCTTACTGGAAGTCAGGTATTAAAGATCATTGTGTATGACACGAAAGCAAAAAATAAATAAATAAATAACTAAAAAATTAATATAAAAGAATGACATTCCCTTCACATTAATTATTGAATTCTGTATTATAAACAATGTACACCAAAAGAATTATTTTTACAGTATGCTGGAAACTACCTCAAAGAACTTAAGAAAGCCATGTCCAATCCCTTGGGTAACATTGGAATGTTCTTGGAGTATGGAAGCAAAAAAGTACTAAAGTAAGAAACAAGTTCCTTCATAGAATCTTGATGAGAATTGCGATTAATAATATTTGTAAATTGATCAGGACTTCTAACAATTATTCATTGAATATTAAACTTTATTACTTACCATTAACATTTATGATTTGTCCTTGTAACTGCGTGAATATAACCTTTGCAGGTCAAAGGCTGATGATAATGGAGC